TTTGAATACAACCTATCGTAGTTGTTTACATTCAAATCGGAGTTATTACGGATATAATGACATACCAGCCACGTCTGCCGGCAAATATGAAACGATGCGGCAGCAGTCCCTGGGGATTTATTGATGGAATAATGTGTTTTGGACTAAATATTTTTACTGGATTGGATTGTCTGGACCTTTGACAACGTAACAACACCATTTTTGTTACAAAAATATATTGTTACATTTTTGTTACACAATATAATCGATCGGTAGATTACTATGAGGCTTCATAGGTGAGTCGCGTCAATTTTGCTTGTACTGGTTGGTCTGACAGAAGCGCTGATTTGTACTCGCTGTGGTGATTGTATCTTGAAATGGTTTGCATTGGTCGAATCACGGAGATTATAGCTTTCAAACAGTGTTATCATATGAGTCTGAAATTAACATAGCAGCTGTGTGCACATACTGAAAGCTGCCGCCAGGACCTAACGCCCCCTGGGTGGGCCGTTGGAATGTTAAGAGTTAAAGGTGCCCTGTGGAGTTTCTTTAAAGTAATTTTCTGTTTACTTCAACAAATGTGTTGAATGCATTTCAGCATCATAAAAAATCTGTATATTTTAAGCCTGCAGTGTTCATATCCCTATTTGTCTTCTTCTTCCCTGCCTTTGCTGACACATGTTTCTTGGCTGCTTTGCTTCTTGGCCTGTTACTGCCACCTGTATATCGGGTGAATAGCGTAAAACCATTGGCAGGAATGTGTATTGCATCATCTGAATGCTCCTGCACATAATAGAGAGCAAATGAAATGGGGATCCACTCCATGGCTGGTGGTCAAAAACTATATGGGGTACCTTTAAGTAATAATAAACACACAAGAGGAAATTGGTGTGAAATATGAAAAATAAAAAACTGATGCATGAAAGAGGAAAATTGGGGCACCACAGAACTCTCTTTTCTAAGAATTTGTATTTCAGTTACAATCTTTTTTAGTGTAGCTCTTAGTAAGACATCTTTCCAAATCCAAATGAGTCACAGAAATGAAAAGCAAAACAATTAATGAGCACACAGACTTAAAATAAAATGACCTGTCTGTATAAATAACTAAACACCAGATTAGAGGTTCATCCTCAACATTTTCATAATAACATTTAATTGTTTGTTAGTTTTTTACAACTTGCAGCTTTGCACATTGCATGTCTTCGTAGGTTAAAAGTGCCCATAGAAACTCCCACTGCAGCCACCTTTTCCAAATCACCACACAACTGCTGCTTCATTGTGTTCATAATTGTAATCCCTTGGACCGATGAAAGGGGCAAAGTCTGCTGGTTAATTAAAACTGCAATCAAATTTACCCCTTAAACTGGCGGCAAAAAGGGACCCCATTCAATTAAATCATACATCACTTTCCTTTCAATAACACGCAAACAAACAAGTGAGGGGGATGGAGTCGTGTAAATCCACGCGCTTGTTGATTGCCTTCTGCAGCTGGGATTCTTTTAATTTAGTAAACAGGAGCTGAGGTGGCGCTCAAGGTGCCGTGGAGGAGAGTCCAGGGAGCAAAGGGGATTAAAGACCCTTCCACTGGCCTTCTATTGGCACTTGTCATGCACTTAATTTGATGCTGTAATTAACTTTAAAAATCTCAAGGCATTTTGCAGAGTGTGTACACAGGATTCTTTAAAGATAAATGCAGAGCAGAGTGTGATAGGATGAAGTAGCTGACTGCTGCAGAAAGCATTTCCTGTTTATCTCTTCCTACTACAAGAAAGAGCATGATCCTGGAGCCCTCTGAAGGCCTAATGTTATACATCCACATTGTGCGTGTGAGTGTGCCCGTGTGCATTTGTGTGAAAGTAATTATATTGATGGAATACCTCGTGTTTGCAATGTTTCCTTCTATTTAGAGGCTCACTTTGCACAGCAGATGTTGTCCACCTGCTACTTGGTATCTGCCCGCTTGACTGAAAGAATATAAAACAGTCAAGGACCTACTTGGATGCAGTCAAGGAGGTATTTTTGTACATATACACACACAGACACACACAAATACACTGCACTGAACAATGTGTGACCAAACACAGCACACCAAGACATACGCACATCTAGACACATGCACACACACTCATGCAGGTAAATCATCATCATCCAGAAATCCACAAGGGTTTAACAGAATGGAGAGCAGGCGACTTTTTTATGTGGGCCAGCCAATCAAGCGATAATTGCTTTGAAATTAAGTACCTTTTGTATTTGAATGGTAATTAACTGATGAAAGAAAATACTCAATAAGTCATTAACAGAAACCTAAAAGAAAATGTTGACCAGTGAGTGCTTTAAAAAAAAGAAGTTCATTTTCACTTTTTAAGTACCGACTGCTGATAGATTGGCTGTTTAAATCAGAGTAGGTGAATTGCCATTGACCTTGATGCACATCGTCATTAGACCATAATTAAATCAAATTCTGCCCTGCTGGTTATTTACTGTAGGTGGTCATAGATTAAATTTTGTGTAGAATCTCATTAAATATATTTTACAGTTAAAACTTTCAACACAAGACCATATAGTGTTTTTAAACACATCTGGCTTGGAATTAATACACACAGAGGGGTTTTGGCCCTTAGAGTTCCCTTCAGTGTTTCAAAAGTACCGTATTTGGATGGTTAATTTCACATTTGAACCCCATTGCCCTCTTTTCCTCAATCCTGAACTCTGTTGCCGAGCTCTCTGGGTCACTGAAAAAACGTCAAACGTCCTTCTTTTTGCAGCCCTGAGATAAGAACGCTGTGCGTTCTGTGCACATCCAGCCTCTCCCATAAGTAATATGCATTTCATAGAAAAAAAATAAAACACTGAATATCATTTGAATATCTTCTTGAGAAAATGAATGATGATGCAAATGCATGGGAAGGACCGTGTTGAACTGTTGAGATGTGAGCAAGGACACAGTGAAAGGATAACAGCAAGATAAACAGTCCACGTTTAGTTTTGTGCATGTCAATGTGTGTGTAACATTAGCATGTGCATACAAAAGGTGTCAAAACAGCAGTAGTGAAAAGTAACTAAGTACATTGATTCAAGCAGAGACAATTCTTGGGTACTTGTACTTTTCTCAAGTATTTCCATTTTATGTGACTTCTACACCACTACAATTCAGAGGGAAATATTTCACTTTTTACTCCACTACTTTCATGTGACAGTCACTTTTCATTGATTAAGATTTTAAACAAAGAAATGCACAATAATCTTATGAAACACAATGCATTGTTAGATTACACCAATTGTTACCAACATTTCTGGACTGTGACCCCCTATAAAATAAAAGCAGATGATTTCCTTTAAATAACTGTTAACATTTCTATCTTCTTTCCTACCCATTAACATTACATTTATCTTGTGCTTTTATCCAAAGCGACTTACAATTGCTATGTATGTCAGAGGTCACACGCCTCTGGAGCAACTAGGGGTTAAGTGTCTTGCTCATTGGTGGATGTGTCACAGTGGGGAATTGAACCTGGTTCTCTCAAGCCAAAGGCATGTGTCTTATCCACTGTCCCATCACCAGCCCGTTAATACCCCATCATTTATCTCACAATTCTTCAGATTTATCTTGTGACCCTTTTGAGGGACCTGACCACCGGGTTGGGAACCACTGGACAAAACTACACAGTAGTTAAAAGTAGCTCCACCTCGACCAGCCACAACAGTAAAATTCTGCTTACACACTGATGCATCAGTATTAACAGAGATGTTTTATAGAAGACACCTATAAGGACTTTGGTATTAACAATCTGATAATGTCATGTATCAGTCACAGGGGACATTTTTCTGCAGAAGGAGGACTACTTTAAGAACATTTTGCTGATAATACATCTGTAATATGACTGCATGACATTTACTTGTGTTTTTCCATTGTTTATACTGGTACTATGAAATTATCTTATAAATAGGTACTTTTTTCCATCAGGTTCTGAAAACTGTTTGTTTTATATTATTTTAATAGACAGTATAAGTACAGTGGTTCTGCTCCAGTCCATGAATGTGTATGTGGTTGTGTGGTTTAAGATGACTCTTATGTCCCCTCCTGATGTTCTTTGGCTCAGTCATTAACCTGGGATTAGCCTGGCAGAGATGGAAGTCAAGGGTCAGGGAATAAGTGAGCTGCCCTGCTGCACAGTCTGGTTTCCTAGCCATGAATTGAAACTTAATGCTTCCCGCTTATATTTGTGAAGAGAAAAAACAAAACTCTCCTTACCTCAAGGGTATTTGTGTAGATGCGCATCAGTGCATCAGATTTGTGTGAGTGGATAGTGGGTATTTCTTGAAGTTGTTACCTTCTTTTTAATCTTGAACATTTATTTTTGTGATGTTCAAACAAGTATACGTTTAAGAAGGGCTTGAGAGTTGCTCAACAAGCTCAAAGTTTAAAGAGAGTTGTGGTTGTGGAGATATGGGAGTATGCGAGGTGGGGGGGCACGTTTGGCTGAAGCTTCTGAAGGGGGCAGAATTTGTTTTATGAGGGTAATTGATGCTTTGCTGCAGGAGAAGAGGGCAAAGCAGGCATGAAATTGTGCAGGGGATCAGATCCGTATCGGAGCATACGGGAGAGCTGAGGGAGAACAACGGAGCCCGGCAGCCCGCGGTGGCTGGATTAGGGTGCCGCTCAGCACTGAGGTACAGTTAAGAGCCAATTTTATTCTCTACCAACCCAATCAGTGGAAAAGCCCTGTATCCTATTAGATTCAAGTTTAGGGAGGAGAAGCAGAGCTGCTGGAGAACAGCCAATAAGACATTCATATAGCCATCAGAACAGAGAGAAAGAAGATAGAATGGAGAGGAAGGTGGAATGAAATGAGAAAATGCTAAATATATTTTGAAGAAACAACTTCACTCAAGCAACTTAACCGTGAGTAAATTCACAATCGGGATACCTTGAAAGCAGACAGTGAAAGTGGTAACCTCATGCTAACATTCTGGGGTCATCCAGCACTAAAGGCTAAGAAAATGAAGATCCAAGCAGGGGGGTCAGTTGGTCATTTTACACCTGAATAACCAGCTGATCTCTCATTGTGCTCAGGTTTACGCCGTATGAGCACTGAGCAAGGTCATCTGTCCAATTCCCCCTGTGTATGCCTGTAGTGGCGCAGTGTTATTGTGTTTGCAGGCAGCGTGGTGCTCAGCGTTGACAAATGCATAGAGGGCACAGCTCATCAGGATTCCCGAGCTGTCAGTCTGTGAAAAAAAAGAGGGAATTGGCTGTCAATCCCTAATTAATAAACTCTGCTCCTCTCCCCCCACTCTGCACAGAGTTGTCTGATCAATAACCATTGTGCACTGCCTCAGATGGAAGCCATTCAGATTTATCTGCTAATATCCTGGGTGATAGCCAGAGCTAGACTGGAGATGACAGTAGGCTCAAAGCCCATTACCTCCTTATTTACTGTTTTAAATTCTGCTATAGTCACAGCCAGTTGCTGTCTCTCGAGTAACAAATAGAGGAAAATCTCTTCCCTCTTCCTGGGGCAAGTCAAGGACAAAGCAGATGGAAAAACGTGTGAATGTCTCTTCATTTTAGTTTTCTGGGCAGGGATATGTTTGTAAACACACATGTGCACATGTAGACATTTCTGTTTCAATATATTTAATAAAATATTTGCAAGTTGCAACTGCTGACCTTTTTTCCACATATGGCAAAGACTTTACGGTGATCAAATCCCTCCCCGTCTCCTCTTTTCCCAACCTGACATCAATGCTCCTTCTCCTATAAAAATGACACCCCATTTCAAAACAAGCTGGTTAATTTCTAATTTCTCATCCTGTTATAAATCCTGCTGTTTTCTTCCCTTTGTCTTCAGCCCAGTCAGCGTGAGTCGCCTTCCACATCCTGTTCATCCGTCTGCAAGATTTGACGGGAGGACAGATATTCCCGTTATCCGCAGTGATCTACAGTTGCTGAATAAAGTCAGGCATACTAAAAGCACTAGCTCAGAAACACAGACGGAAAGCCTCACATTTAAGAGCAGCACTGGCCTTGACAACAGTGTTGACTCTGTTGTCATGTAGAGAGTTTGAGAGTGGATTAATGAGTCCAAACCTCAGCTCTCAGGTCCAGTGTTTATTTGAGTAAAAAGAAAAATCGCTTCCTGTTTGAACCTGCTGGGCAGTTCTGTACGTTCATTTTTATGTTATTTGCCACAGTGAAGGAATCCTGAACATGTTTAAACTATGAATCTATTCTGTTTACAGCTTTGTAGTTTTATTATGTGGGAGCGAAATATGGTTTTATGCATTCTATTTTTGTTCCACTCAGTTAAATGGGCACTGCACCAATTTTACACTTGAAGTTCAGTTTACGTGTCATGAGAAATAGGTACCAGTGAAAACAGTTGTAAAATTTCTTCTGTGGCTCCAGAGAGAGCTTTTCAAAATATAACCCTGGTGAAGACATTTTACGCCTCTTTTCATTTAATCAGCTATGTGGAACCACAACATGTCCATCGTTGCTATATGGTATCAACAACATTGTACTCACCAAGTTATGTATTGAGATCTGGGAATGCAGTAACGCTGCTAAAAAGAAAGAGGACAACAAACACAATGTCAGATAATTAGACAGGTTTTAAAGTGTCTCCCACGTAAGCCACATTTAACTGTAAAACAAAGGCAATCAGTAAAATGATAACTTAAACTGTGCATAAACATCCACAGACTGACTTCCTAGTTCCAACTGCGTGGACTTCTGGTTTTACCTCCAAATAAAGTGTTTTTTGATAATCAAGCTTAATTGTTGACTAACTGATCTGATCATCTGATGGATTGTTTGTTAAAATACATAAAAACGACTTAAAAATAAGAGCAAAATTGAAAAAAAAAAAACCAGCAACAGAGTTTATCTGTAAAGACAAGCTTTAAAGGCAGACTTGTATTATTCCATCACCTTAATTACATGCACAGTCATTTGCAGGGCCGAGATTTCTTGTGAGGTTTGAGTCTCTGCGTTCATTGTAGCCCAGGATATGCTTCAGGTGGCCCAGACATTGGGGTTTTTGATAAGCACTCTTCCACAATCATTATTCTTGTTCAATGGAGTTGAACTGAATTATCACAACATCCGAGGAGGGATTTGAATTCGAGGTGTGCCTTTGTTTATGCTCTATCACCCAATTTCAGTGGCAAACTTGTTGTTACTGCCGTCCTGCAGAGCGAGCTTTCCTTGATGTTATCTCTGCTGATCACTTGGGGATGATTACAGAGGCTGGTCTGCGATACTACGGCGTTGGCACACAAATTCTGAGTGCGAAGGAGGGCTGAGGCGCCTAGAAGACGTATGCTGATGGATGACATGTTAGCACCCTCAACAATCACCCTTTCACATTGTTGCTGCAATGTTTGAAACTATCTGCAGGATCACAGCCTGTCAGGACCTGGGGATTATTCTGCATCTGTTTACAACGCTTTAAAATGACATTCTGGGAGAGTGTCTGATGTGTGTGACTTGTAGAAGTGGTCTCTTGTGTGTGTATTTGATCCCTGACTGAGATATTGCAACTGGCAAAGTGCATATAATGTTTACCTAGAGACAACTGCTCAATTAGATGATCTGTAGGAGTTAAGAGCATGCGTGCACAAAAACACATACACCCACCTACCCACCCACATGCACACATATACAAACACACAGGCCAGTTAATCTGCTTTTTGATTCAGGTCTTAATCTCCTGTCTGCTACTCCACTGGCAGGTCCCGCCTCCCAGTTTAGTAGTAACAAAGAGGCTGGAGATTCGTGAAGAGGCTCAAACAGGCAGCATGCATCATAAAACCTGTTTATCTCTGTTGTAACCGTGGTGCCCATGCACTTGTGTACGGGGACAGATGTTAAAAACATGTTGAGCTTCAGACATGGCAGGTTTACTTATTAAGAGTGTGCTTCACTGATTTAGCATTGCGCTCCTAAAAGTTTGTCGGACTCATGGTGGACAGTTTAGCAAAACTGATGCAGCAGAACCAGAGAAATTATTAAATATTATTATACGCTATCAGTTTTGTTCCACACATTCTTCCTCCTTGTCAAATCCTACATTACCCACAATGCAACTCGGGCGCTGACAGTTTCAGCCAGATGATTCAGGTGTGGTATGCTGGTAGCAGCTAATTCAGCCTGGAGCTTCAATCCTCAAGCAGAGATGAGTCTACAAAGGTCTCCACAACCCCAGAAATTTGAAATTTTCTAACTTGTAGTCTTCATCCTCAACCAGCGCTGACTCGGTTGACATCACATGTGGACTTTACGCAGGACTGTAAACAGACTTTGAAAATCTATTCCCCTTTAAAACCACTGAGGTTTGCTTGATTTCACTCAGTTTGCAGGGAATGTATCAATAAATGAATATTGCTTCTCATCATCCTACTAAACAACTGATAACCTGTGACTTTTTTTAAGTTAAGTGTTGGCTTACCAAATGTTTGACTTTGCTGTATTGGCTAAATGAAGCAGAGTTTAATGTTGATCCAAATTGTAAAAGCTTGATGATTTGCTACTAATAACCATGGAGGGATTACCAAGGCCTGTTTACTTGTGTGCAGATGTCTTGATTACCGAGCCATTAGATTAATAGAGATAAGCTTTGCCACGCTGCTCATAGATCCTGAATGTCCCCTGCACAAATAATCAGCGCTTAGCGGTACAAGGTTAATACAGCATTCGGCAGAGGCCAGCAAAAGCAGACAGCCCAGCGGCCCAGAGGCAACTCCAGAGGTGAAAGAAGACACCATAAAAACTGTGGTGAATCATGTCTGCGGCCTCATGGGACCAGCGGACCATGTCCTGGCACTGATAGTTTGACAAATGATACATCACCATCAACTGCAAGATCTATTGTTATGACAGCAGGAAAGATGGTATCATACCACAGCAATATCCACAATCTGGCAAACACAACCACACTCCCACAAGCACACTGTGACTGCAAATACACACAAGCTCTGGAACAAATGATAAACTTACTTTTCCCCCATAAAAATTCTATCCGGCAGATCACAGATTGAATAAAGTTTTGTTTTCATTGTTTAAAAATACAAGTCATAGTTTGCAAGGCTGATCATTATTATTGAAGTACTGCGCATTTGCCACTAGATGTCTCACTGTGTGCTTGTTTTTAGGCCACACTGGTGTGGCACACACAGTCACATGCAGGGTGCACATGGTGTGTTTAATATGACCAGCCTAGCCAGTCTCCACATGTGTTGCAGTCTCCTCTGGGAGGACAGGAAAGCATCTGCCTCCCTCTGTCTGTCTAACACATTTCTGGGAAAACAGCCCAAACCTGCGGCTCAGGAGGAGGGGGAGAAAACACGCACACACACACGCACGCACGCACGCGCGCACACACACACACACACACACACACACACACACACGTCTGAACATCCACCAATTTGCACAAATGTATGTCTGCACAATAATTTTCATTATATATTATAGACAATTAGATTGAACTACATAGATATGTTGCTTGTCTACATGCTGGAGGTGATGTAATAATACTATTGATTACAATAATGATTTATGCATTTCCCTAAGCCCAGGGTAAAATAACAATATAAACAAACCATTAGCTCTAATAAGAGAAGACACTGCTGGCTTCATTAAGTGCTCAGAAGGATGAACCCCAATAAGAGCCCAGCTCCCAGTTTCACCAGGTTGGTTAGTTTTTCTGTTGGTAGGGAATTTTCATTGTGCTCTGTGGGGAATCTGTGCCCTTTGGACCATGGAGAGCTGTGTATGAAGGAAATACAACGTACAGTAAAAACCATACAAGCATGAGCTGGCTCCAGGTTGTTACTTTTTACTTCCAGGATGAAGTTATTCAGTGGGACTGTGCTCCAACGGCACTGTGGTGTCAACATTAGTGCTGAAACAATCAGTTGATGAATTGATTGACATAAACGTATAATCAACAACAATTTTGCTGATCAATTAATTTATCAACCCGAAATACCAAACATTCACTTGTTCCAGCTCCTCAACTGTGAGGATGTGCTGCTTTTTCTCAGTTTTATCTTATTGTAAATTAAATATGTTTGGGTTTTGGAAAAAACAAGCAATCTAATGAAGTCACGATAAGCTGTGAGAAATTGCGATGGACATTTATCACAATTTTTGGCATATGGACTAAATGAGCAGATTACTTTTAAAAAAGAGAGTCAACAGATAAATTGATGATGAAAATAATCCTCTGTTGCAGCCCTAGTCAGTATGCAAGTGGCTGTCGAGTTTCAGTTTTAGCACGATGCACGGCACAGTATAAAATATACACCATTGCAAAGAATGAAACAGTTTCATTGTGTGTTCATATGCAGTACAATTCTTCTGTATTACAGATTATTGTTCAGCACATGTTAATGTCAATCTTAATTCTGACAGCATTGCATCTTATTGTTAGAGGCCTACAAGTTCAGGTAAACTTCACTTATGCTCGTAATTTTTACTGTAGGCCTAAATTTCGGACACACTGGAGCATAGCATGTGAACTGTATGCTAGACGACTTGTGCCATCTATGAAGCTTAAAGCATAACTATTGGTAAACACATTTATTTTTTCTACTGAAATTATGATTTTATCTCAAGCTAAAAGGCCGAGCTCTGTGACCCATCAGATGTTGTGATCTGAAAAGGAACTTCAGCTATTTTGCAACTACAAATACAAATCTACTTTTTAAAAATCACCTACTTTATTCTTATAGGTGTTAGTAAAAACAGTGTTCCCACAGTCTTTGGATAGGATCACTAACCAGAAGATTATTGTCCCTATAATATTCAGATGTTAGATTCAGGCAGCTTCATAGTGTGCTTTGTCTGTAGAGCATTTTAAAAAAACAAGTCAGGTTCTGCACCTCTTTGAATGTAACGGAATCGGACGGGTAACAGTATTTAACACTGGCCCAATGGTAAGCTTTGCGTTCTCGGCGTCCCGCCTACGATGAACCTGATTGGCCAAGCCCTGCCGTTAACCAATCCACAGCGTAGCGAACGTTAGCTACATCAGAAGGTAAGCTAAAAAACACACAAATATTCGCTTAATCAATAATTATAAACACCGAATCAACTGATGGCGAGTTGTTAAACTTGTCCTGTATAGTGATGCAATAACTTATAATTATTACAGCTCAGCAGATTTGATGCAGACAACAGTTACCTCCCTCACTGGCCACAACCATAGACTGTATATAAAAAAGCCACAACCAACCGAGTTTTTTAGAAGATTGTTGCACACCTCTGCTGAATGTGTAAGTAGCTAATTGTTTGCTAACGTGGAACAATTTTGTAAGACAATAATATGTCAGGGTTTGTCTGTTTTGAAGCTGTTCTTCTGTCCCTCCAGTTCAATTAATTAGGTTACTCTAAGTTAATATGCTAAATTGTCAATATCAAATGTCTAATATCAGAAATTCATGATATTAATTATACACACCAAACATTATAACATTATAACCACCTTCCTAATATTGTGTGGGTCCCCCTTTTGCCGCCAAACAGCCCTGACCTGTCTAGGCGAGGTTACCTCAACTAGCCTTGCCAGGTCACCGCTTTTCCTTTTTTGGACCACTTAGGTACTGACCACTGCAGACGAGGAACACCCCACAAGGGCTGCATGTTTGGAGATGCTCTGACCCAGTCGTCTAGCCATCACAATTTACTGCAATTTCCTGCTTCTAACACATCAACTTTGAGGACAAAATGTTCACTTGCCGGCTAATACGTGCCACCCACTGACAGGTGCCATGGTAACGAGATAGATAATCAGTGTTATTCACTTCACCTGTCAGTGGTCATAATGTTATGGCTGATCGGTGTATTATACATAATGCTAAATACAGACAGACTGTACTGACAAGAATGAACAGTGATCGCAAGTTGAACCAAATGGATCATGAGCGGGATGCTTCTATACTCAAATTGAATCTGGATTATATTATATAGATATTCAGATTAGGTCAGCACGGTGGCGCTGTGGCCTCACAGCAAGAAGGTCGCGGGTTCAAACCCCGGTTGCCCCGGCCTTTCTGTGTGGAGTTTGCATGTTCTCCCCATGTCTGTGTGGGTTCTCTCCGGGAGCTCTGGCTTCCTCCTACTGTCCAAAGACATGCGGCCTAAGTTGATTGGTGATACTAAATTGTCCTTAGGTGTGAGTGTGACTGGTTCTTTGTCTATGTGTGGCCCTGCGATGGATTGGCGAGCTGTCCAGGGTGTCAGCTGGGATTGGCTCCAGCCCCCCCGCGACCATGTACGCAGGATAAGCGGTTGACGATGGTTGGAGATATTCAGTTTACTATCGTATAAGGCAAACAGAATTAGCCTCAAAGTTGAGAAACTGGACCTAAGTAATGCTTGAAGATATACAGTATATATATATATATATATATATATATATATATATATATAAAAAAATTTTCAGTAATTGTCAGAATAGTTGCTGCTCATCGATTATATAAGGTAATCACTTTTCGATTAAAACCCCATTTACCAGTTCAGAATAATGGCAGTGTATACCATACTGCACAAGCCAATAGCTCCATCTGCAGAGCCTGAGAAGGTTAGCTTTTGTCATGCAAGGTGATGTGATGTATTAGAGGCTTTCAGTCTTGGTCCTGCCTCTCGCTGCAGGCCACCTATTTCCCCATGTATTCTCACTCGCTCTGTCTGTAGCTGTAAAATCTGCCAGTTTGAGTACAGCTGTGTGTGTTTATGTCTCTGTCAGAGTGTGACTGTGGAGAATAAGCTCCAGAATGTGTGTTATCTATTAATTCCTTCATTAAGCTCTTATCACCACTTTTAATGCCAATTAAGATGCGCTTTAATGTGACGGCAGGGCGGGCAAGCGACTGTGCACTTCACACTCTGCAGTGACAAGAGAAGTTGCGTAGACCACGTCCAGACAGGACCACCCATTCCCCTTATCAAGCCACTCAGGCGCCACAGGCCTGTTAGTTTTGCCTCTTTAACAAAGATAGTTTAATATGTTCTATATGGCGACACCTAACACGTCACTCACTGCAAATGTATTGAAGGCCATTGTGATGTTGGCATGTCACTGGAGAGCCGCTTAAAGTAATCAATATCATTTTTGAAACAATATTACAGCTTCAAAGCTTTTGAAAAAGAGGGTTACTGAGTCTTGCTTGACCTGGGAGATGAGTTGGAAATCGTTGCAAGGGGCAGAATTCACAAGCTCTGTTGCATGGTGTAGGACATGTAGAGGTCGCAGCTTTCTCTGAATGTGGTTGAGCAGTGCTCAGCTGTATTTACTCACAGGAAAGAGACCACATCACTTAAATAGATTCATACGTAGCCACATACAGACAGGTGCTTTCCGTGTACCTAACATATGGAGTAAGACAAAACTTTTGCAAACGCAGTCAGAGTCACAGTGAACACTTCTGTGTGAATTCTAATTAGATAGCATTGACAGATCTGCAATATGCAGACTAAGCAGATGGCTCATGGACAGTGTGGAGAGGTGGGGGTGTCGTGGGGCGATGGACCACAGGTTTCCTGTTATAGCAGCTGGCTGACAACTCTGGGACGCTGTGTGTCAGCACAGAGAGAAGAAGAGGGATGGCCAGAGTGTGTGAAAATGGGCAGAGAGAAATAGAGGCTTGGATTGAGGAAAAGATCTCATTTGCAACTAATGATGATTTTCATTGTCAATTAATCAATAGGTTATTTTCATGATTACTCAGTTAGTTGTTTGGTCTATAAAATGTCAGAAAATAGTGAAGAAATGTGAGTCAGTGTTTCCCAAAGTCCAAGATGACGTCCTCAAATGTCTTGTTTTGTCTACTACCCAAAGGAAAGAAACCAGAAAACATTAACATTTAAGGATTTTTTCCCCCTTAAGAAATTACTCAAACCGATTAATTGATTATCACTAATTGATTAATAAGTGCAGCTTTTAACTTACAACTAACGATAATTACTTGTTTTGTCAGACTAACAGCCCAAAACACAACAATATTCATTTTAGAGTAAGAAAAGCAGAAAATGGAAACATTATATTGTTGCAATATGACAAATGACTCAAATGATTAATTGATTAAAAATCAAAGTTAAATAATTTTCACATGAGTTTCTTGTGGATCTACCAATGGGCTAATTGACTAATCATTTTAGCTCTAATAATGCACGGGTAAACTGGATGAATCACTGGTGAAAATGTGAAGAGTATTGTTTTGAAATGTTTGATACTAGTGTCAGTAAGACACATAGGTTGTGGTACGGATACAAGGATGCTATGAAAAATAGACACACATTGTCTAAAAAACGAAAGAAGCCGTAGTCAAAATGCAGGGAGCTTTAGAAGAAGTTTGTCATACTGAGGTTTCTATTTGAAGAGTGCAAGTGTAACATTGGTGGACTATGCTGCTGTGAACTTGAAGTATAATATATGTTTGATGGATCTTGCTGTGAACCCCCCCCCCCCCCCCCCAAATGAAACACCTATAAATTTAAGAGCTTCCTTTAATGTATTAACTTCATTTCCTCTCTCCTCTCCCTGTGTGGCACTGATGTCTCTTTCCTCCTCTCTGTTTTCCACTCTCGATCCTTCTCAATCCCAGCTTTGATGTATGCATGAGGGAGGATTTCCTGTAGACCAAAGAGGCCATTACCCAGGGGCCATTAGGCCTCTAGTAGAGCATGTCGATGAGTGCTGAGTCTTGCTCTGTTTTCACATGCAGCCACTTTTCTATGTGAGTAGGATGGGTGGGGGATTCTCTGGGGTGATAAAATATAGCCTTAAACGTATACAGTATATTTCTATTACAAATATCTGTATTATTCATCATAATAGCACCGTTGGTGTTCCCTGTTGTAACATTTGATATAGTGGTTGTTTTTGTACTGTTGCACGTAAGGAGGTTGGGTCATTAATTGGTGCTGTTGTTCTTTCATGCAGAGCAAGGGGAGTGAGTCATCATCATCATCATCATCAGGATGAAATGCTCTGACATTTGAGCACAAAAGTCCCAGAGTGCCTTGCGGCCCAGCATCGCTGGGTATGTTTGTATTTTACAGTAAAGGAGGTATGCAGAGCACTATGGTCTGAATGAGATCCTTTTTTTGTTGTTGTTGATATTAGCAAAGCGTTGAGGTCATGTAGGTAATAACCACATTACAGAACAAAGCAAATAATGAGGGATGTGGGATATGTAAATATTTATGTAAACATGGAGGTCTGTGTGTGATTTAGATGGGATCTGCCTGTTCTGGTGAGTGGATGAAACTAAATGGGATGATAAATTGTGAGGTGAGCAGGGAGGGAGCTGAAAGGGACACAGAGGGAAGATAACCTTGATTGCTGAAATTACTCTGCCGATCTCTTCAGTGTATCCCCGTAGAGGACAAGGACACACAGCCTCTTCTCTGCTGTGGGTTAAAAAGTGTGTCAAAAAAAGCGTGTGGTAAATGAGTGACAGTATATCATGCTCCTGTTTTTACAGAGAGCACTTGAGAGGATCGTTGAAGTTTGCTGAGAGCCTCGGGACTCTCTCAAGGGCAGCTTGTATCATCTGCGGTGAATGCGACGTGTAGTCCTTCTCTAATCAGAAATATAAAATCTTAGCATTCAGTGTGCTGACTAGACTAGGTTTTACAGAGTGTGAAGCCTCACTTTTCTGTCCAGCGCAGCAGAACATCAGCATACAGGCCACAGAAAGAGACAGAGAAGGAGGTTAGGGAGGGAGAAAAAGATGGATAAGGTGGAGGAAAAGCAAGATAAGCGGCCAGTGTGTGTGTGTGTGTGTGTGTGTGTGTGTTTGTCTGGATGTGTGGGGTGCGCCTTGACTTCCCTGAGGTCTGGAGACAGTGGAAACAAGGAGTGATTAATTTTACTCCAACCTACTTGGCCTCTGTCTGGGGGAGCAGTCCCTGGAAAGTCCAATACAGAACAGCGAGGCCTGTCCGCTCCACTCCCTGGATCAATAACAGATTGGCAGGTCACTCTCTTTAGGAGAAACTGCACAGCCAATGAGAGAGGAACCTTGGGCACTTGAGACCCGCCTCTTGTCTGTTTTCCTCACCGTTTGTAGGATCAGCCGAGCTTGAGGCCATTGATCTGTGTGTTTTCACTGAGCGGATCCTTTAGCAGGCCTGATTGATTAGCTCTAATAATGAGTGGATTCTGTATAAGCATTGCAGCGCGTTCAATGAGATCCAAGGCCCCCTGGGTCGCCTCTTGCCACTCTTTCACCCACAAGCACCACCACACACACATTCAGGCAGATGAAATATGATTTGCATTTAAGGTATTGCTATGAAGAAGTCGAGTGAGACAAGGCCATACATCAGAAATGATTGCGTAAATTGGCTGCCGATCTTCTCTTGGTCCCTGCAATTGCAGAACCCCCTGTAGACATCCTATCCATCCAGAGAGACCTGATGTTTTGTTTGCACAGATAAAACCACTTCTCTGCTCTGGACAGGTCTTTCCATTAGCGAAAAATGACACATGTGTGCATTAGCTGAAAATTTAATTTGCATTCGTATTTCTTTCCCCATGCCCCACGAGCCAGTAAAGAGAGATACGTGCGCTTAATGTATATTTGAATGGAAGGAGAAAATAAGGGTTGGCTGTGAGTCAGCAGAAATGCTCAGTGTGAGTCAGCCAGCCTACATCACTCTACTAGTATCTGTTTGTTGTTATCACTGTCATGATGGGAAGTAAGGTACACTAAATTAATGTGCGAGAGTAGCCATCAATTAAGGTTATTTTTCTCCGCATAGGGAATAATAATAAATCAACGACGACTGTCCTGTTTCCCTGCCACAGATTTGTTTGGATGGGTGGATGAGAGGGAGTCGCTCAATATGTCTCAAAAATTTGTCGCTCGGGGGAAATAAAAGCTGACCCCCCCCCCCCCCCCCTCCACTTCCTGAGGAACAAGCCTAGATATTTGTTTTGACTGAATGATCCGTGACATCTATGTACATAAGCAGGGTTACCGCGGCTGTAGCTCTTCATCCCCGCCATCAGGTGGGTTTTTCCCAACCTGCTGAGATCTGTGCCCCGCAGTGTCTCCTTTCTACCAAAACAGTGCTGTCTTCGCTGTCAGTGAAGAGACCGAAATGCTGTGAAGAAACCCTGCTGACTGCTGTGTGGCTTTCTGTAGCAGAGCACCTGCGTGATCCCTGACTGACTGAGCCAAGGACAACACGCCACAAGACCGGCAGTTTCTGCCTGTGCCTAGCAAATGAGCTGCGAAACGTAAGACTTGCCTAAGAGCTGCCGAGTGTCCTGAACCTGGGCTTTGACTGGGAGACAACTGGAAAAAAACCTAAAGCCTTGAGCACCTTCACCCCTATTCTGTGTTTTGCAAAGGTGTGTGTTGCCTGTTTCTAATATTGGCGACAGCAACACATTATGTACAAAGCTATAAATCTTCATTGTGTGTTCTCTACAATCGCACGGATGAACTCTGAAAAATGTGTTTTGTTTAGGTGCAAGTACGTCACGTCTATACTATGCCCTCCAGTTGAAATGGGAAGATCAGAGAACAAACAGCAGTGCAGGAAAAGCTAATAAGACAGGTACATGTGCACACACAATGACACATATGCACACAGCCACACACACACACAAACACAAACACACAGCTGATAGAGGGAGATATTCAGTTCTCCAGGGAGTAACTTCATGCTGAATTAGATTTACTCTGAGGTTTTGGTGCATCTCTCCTCCTTGTTTACCGTTAAAATGAACAGTATCTGACTTATGTCCAGAGGAAAACGTGCTCCACTGAAATACACCTTATTAACAAGTGTATGATTATTCTGAGGCTCCCAGTTATGAGATACAAGTAGACATGCCCTGCCCTGCTGTAAAGTTACATTTCAAACACTTTAAGCCCTGCCGTCTAAATAGCTGGTGACAGCATGAAACAATAGCTAGGTATTTCCAAATATGAGGTTATTAATTCACCCTGCATTCATTTAATTGTGCATCCACTGGCAGATGTGCTAATAAGTAGAACAAATGTAGTTGGAGAGCAGCCTCAAGGTGATTGCTGAATGTTTACACTCCAGTTAATACAATCCGCCCCTCTAGAGTCATGCCTCTAATTACTAAAATAAAGCCTTGATTTCTGCTTATAATCCCGAGTTTGAGAAGAACGCAGAGTGAGGAGAGTGGACATGAGTAGGAAGAGGAGGTGGCCTGATGCGCGCCCCCATCTGTCGCCCAGGAATAGGCCGTTTGAACGGAGGAAGGACCGCTTGTGCCAACCGCTGAGTCAAGTGCCACAGATAGACTGAATAAATACAGGAAGTTGGGCGATTGGACGTTCAAAATAAAATAGCTTACCTAATTGAAAACCCACGGACTAACGCTTGAATGTTGAGCCTGTGCGCCTAAGTGTGCATATTTTATACCAGCAGCCATTTTTTCCAAGTTGCCCTTGTGGCATTTTTTTTTAAACACTACTTCTGATCACTTAAGGCTTTTGTCATGTGGTAGCACTGTGCTCCCGTTAAGGTATTTTACAGAATACAAAAGTTAACATTTGATTTGTAACACTTCTCTGCATTTCCGTAGTGCACGTTCGTGCTATATACTGCCCCAATAACGACATGGTTTTATTTTGAAAACCAGGATGGAAACACTATTGGTGTCGTGATCAGCTTGATTGGATTGTTACATCGAAGAGAGTGGGAGAAAAAAAGGAGCAAATGTACGCGGCGGCGTTGAGAGAGGGAGGACAGAGAGTGCGCAAATAGGCAGCCAGATACATCAGCAGCAGCGGCAGAGCATCTTCCTGATCCTGATCTCCAGTGTCTTCAGGTGCCAATCCTCTGTGCGTCTCCGATTGAGATTTCACTGCCGGCTGAAGTGTCCAGAAGCCTCCGCCAACCATCACCTCCCACCACACACTTTATCTGGAGCTCGGTTATTCTTAGCTCATCTGCGAGAGACTGTCCTTCCGGTCCTTCTCAAATTTATCCCAGTTTCTTGAATATTTAATGGAAAATGGCGATCTGCGCGCAGTCGTACGGTGTTTTCTGCCTCCTGACAATCCAAACTGTACTTATCATATGCGTCTCCACGCCGACAGACGGGACCCACCTCTTCCCCCAGCACTATACGTAAGTACCCTGCACTGTTTGGGGGATAAACCGGGGGTGCGGAGCGCGGAACTAGGACAGGTGGCCCCGTCAAGCCTGCACATGCAGCGCCGTGTACCTTGGTGCGAGAGGAGCTTCTATCCCTGATGTTCAAACGCAGATGCAGTTTCCGTCTGTGGTGCTGCGTAAACGTTATGAATCTCGCTCTCACGAAGCCTGTATTGTTGTCGTTTTGGACAGAGGCATTTAATACCCAAAGCCTTATTCAATTTGTCATAGTCAACACGGAAACAGCTACTCTGAGCACGCACAGGTGCCATTGGCGAATAAGCCAGCCAAGCAGTTATTTATTATAACATCGTATGGATAAAATGAAATAATAATAGCCGATGTTTTGTTTTATGTCACTGCATAGGGGGAGAATATCCCATTTACGCATGATTGATGCGCTGAGCTACAGCGAGGCTAACGTTATAGTCTTAAAAAGTCCTCCATTGGATACTGCACACGCACCGTGACTATAATGATCTCTATCCCACTACCGGACACACTTCTGTTTTTAACTGGATCATTTACCACGATTTACCTCGATTCAGAGAATAAACCAATTAGTTAATGCCACAGGAGCGCCTGGTCTTTAAACCTTCAGGTGAAGTCCCATGCTCGGTTCTCAGCCAAACTTCTCAACTACTTGCTTAGACTCTGTTCGCAGACAAATAGAGCTATTTGGACTCCAGATTGATACATGGAATTTCATTGCAGGCATCCAAAACTGAAATTTTTGTTGTAGACACATTTATAGTAGAAATCCAGACGCAATTCGTATTATTAGCTGTCACCATGTTGCTTTTTGGCCGCACGCAGAGAAGGTGGCCGAGCACCCAGCTGCGTGTAAACTGTGGGACCTTGTCACCGCACACCTGTTCGGAAATAGCTTTGCAATAATATTTGAAGTCAAAACGCAGTTTATTCTCAAACGCGAAAAATAGCAATTTCACCTTGAATGACACATTGAACCAGACTGAAATAAATGTCGGCACGTGCAGGACTTTATCAACTTTGCAACTTTTCAAAACAGAAACGATGATAATGATTTTTTTAAGTGAATGATGTTTCGTTTAAAATGACGTTTTGCAGTTCAGTAATAAACCAGCCAGAGTGCAACAGTTCCTCACTCATCCATGTGATGATGTGAACATGGTGTGTAGCCTACAGTGATGATTAGTCAGTCAGGTTCACAGAAATGACAAGAATCTAAATGATTCCTTGCTTGGAAATCTTTTGGGCTTTGTTGTTCCTGATGGCCAAGGTGACTTTCAAAGGAAAATCTCTCATCTTATGTACTGTAACTGTTGAAAAAAAATTACTTTTTGTAACTATACTAGATTAGACTTACCATTGTAACAAAACAGTGTTTATCTTATTACTTGTTATTCAAGCCTCCTCATTCAAGCAGATTTAAGATGAACAGTCTAGGTCTGGTCATGGTAGTATATACTATATTCAGTTATCTCTAGGGTTTTTAAAAACTGGATTTTGTTTCACCCATGTCACTGTGCTATTTGCCAGTTAACTAAGGGTGTTGTGAGCTGCTCTGGCCTCAATTGGGTGTATAGGCCTGACACACACACACACACACGCACACACACACACGCACACCAGGTGGAGCGTGTGTGTGTTGGTATAACTGAGGGAATGTGCTAGATTTTTTCCACCTAAAAGCCAGGTCTGTTTTCAATGTGGTTATCGTGTTGTTTTTGTGTATAGTACTTTGTGTGTGTGTGTGTGTGTGTGTGTGTTTGGGTAGAGGAAGAAGGTGTATGCATGGTGAAATTATTTCCACATTTCTAAATTATTTGGAGGAAACCTGTTTCCATAACTCATATCTAAATGGGCGGATGGACAATCTTCTCTTGGAAAATAAAATATCATCACTTACCTCCATCTATATGAAATTCAAAGCAATTTCCCCCAAATTTTGTTATTTCCACACATCCGAAAATAGTCCACCTTTTGCCCTTAAAGATATTTCAGCGTTGCACTTGGACTGACGAGATCCATTGCAGCAGACTGAACATGGTGACTGTGTGTGGCAAACACACAGGTGGTCCATCCAAACTCATTTGCATCACATTTTCGGCTGTTTTGCTAACATAAATCATAATACACAGACAATACATCAAAAACACAGGTGCCAAATAGCAAAGTTTTAACACTACATCGGACTAGAAAGAGCCAGAGAGCATCAGCCGGCTTTCATGTGTAATGCACAATGACAACTTTAAGAGAGATCACAGCTTTCACTACAAAGAAGGTCTCCGAGCACTAATTGAGCAACACAGTAGTGTATGTAATTTAGTAAACAAGCGTCTCCTCATATCTGTGTAGGTGTTACTGAATGGAGAGTTCTGCATATGTGGAACTGTGGAATTTTTTTCCCCTTTGAATTACAATTAGTTCAGCATGAATCTCAAGTCATCATTTTACACATCATGCCTTTAAATGTTGTGAGGTCAGCTGCATGTGATCTTTTGTGATGCAGGTCTGTTGTATTATAGCTCCGTGGTAGACTTTTTGTCGCCTGTCACTGGTTCATGGATATCGGTCTGCACATTTTAAAGTATGTTGTCGATTTATACTTGATGTATTCATTGTAATGAAATTTAGGCAGGCGTGTCTGTAGAGCTGGTAGATGGATGTAATACTTTTATCGTGATACGAAACTGAATATCGTCTGAGATGTTATTGCGATTTCGTGACACAGTTTAAAGGCTATCTTTCATTGATTTTACTGGACTGATCAATAGTCCAGCTTTAGCCCTTCAAGATATTTTATAGTTGCACTTGGAGCAAGTGTGAAGGTGTGTGGCCATCATTTAATTTTCTTAATTATATTTGACGAGGGTGGGTAACGTGGACACTCATATCACTTTATGTTATCTTGATAACACTATCTTTTGATATTTGCTTTTCAATATCATATGGTGAAAGTGAATTTGAGGCAGATTTGTGATATTGGGTATAAATAAAATTTAAGACCAATACGCTTATGTAATACTATAAAAAACAAGTATTCTAAAGTAAAAAACATGCTGTAACAATGTTAACTTTGTCAACATGTTACAATAATTTACATACATGTTAAAAAAATATCTCCATATGCGAATTGTGTCACTACTATATCACTGAATTACTGCAAAGCTTAGTTCTAGCTGAGTGAACTCATCAGGGTTTACCTGCTTGGCCATGAGGTCCACATTATAGACATTTGCATTCATCCAAATCTAAAATATTGTTGTGTTTGATCTGACCAGTATTGCCCAACTGCAAGATATGTGTATTTACATATACTTACAATATAACACAAAACGTAGGACCCTTGTACTGCATGTAGTTCTGTCAAAGATATTATATAGTATATATATTGGTATGTATGTATGTATGTTTGTGTGTGTGTGTGGACTAATGAAGTTACGTAAGAAGTCTGCCTGGCTTGGGGCAGAGGTATTGTCCCTCACTATTAGTATCACTGCATCCTGCGCTGCTCTGCTCTTCTCTGTTTTCATTTCATATTGAGGTGACCTTTTCACAGTCGGCGGCCTCTCCCCAGCAGACCCGCTCGGCACCGTCCTTTCGGAGGCTCCTTTCTCTTAATGTTGTCCCTACAAACACAGCCAGTGCGCACGCTCGCTTGGCACGTTTGCTTTGCTCTTACTCTCCTGATGAGGCCCGCTCCATCTTGGTGATTATAGCAAGCGCTGTCACCGCAGCACAGATTTGTGCAATTTAATAAATCTGTCTTCCCTCTTGTCTTCTGAGCAAATCTGACATTTAAAGATGACATTTGTTTCCGTCGTCATATTAAAACACAAACGACTCTGTTGTGTTGTGCTGTTGATGCTAGTGATTAGCTATCTGCTGGCTGCTGAAAGAAAAAGGTTGGCACGGAGTCAGTGGTTGGCTCATAAACACATGAAAGAATTTATTCATCTGATTGTTGAAAGCTTTCATATATATTTTTTTTAAGTGAGAATTTCTTGTTGGCCACGCATGTGGATTGTTTAGCGTGCATTCAGGTTAGCAGGTTAGCCCCTGCTACTGCTTTTAAAATGATCTAGTGAAAAGCTTGATCCATTAAGTCATTTGTTGCTTGCTGGGAGATATACGGTGATGAGCCCGAGCCGTTTGATCTCTTAATTCCAAACTTGGCTCCGTCTAACGGAGATCAGCTCCTGCTTAGGCTGCATTTCTGTCCGACCTGAGCAGTTTTATTGCAGAGCTGCTGATCCCAGTTGAGCCAAGACAGGCACGTTCACTACCAGTCCTGCCAGGGCTGACCAGATATATGCAAGATGCGACTAACTCAGACAGTAGGAGAGGTAGGACAGATTGGGAATCGAGAAAGGGGGAGAGTTTGGCAGTGTGACAACAGAAAAAAAGAGATATACACAAAGATGGGGAGAGGCTCTTTTTGTCTCAGTCTTACAAGCACACGCACTCAACATGCAACGATGAGAAATGAACGCTCGTGAGATGACATGTTCAGGTGATAACGCCGAGTGTTGCAGATTGAAAATTTATTTTTGTTTTTTTTGTTCCAGAATGATTCACTGGGCCGGACGCATTGAGAAGGAGCTGGAAAAGGTTCTGCAGCACGTCACCGGAACTCAGCAGATGAGATCGGTAAGTTGACGTCATGCTTGCATGTGACGCGGCACATTTTCCTGCATTCTTAATCAGTAAGATTTCACTGGGATAGATTGTACAACATAAGCTCCCACGTGTGTGTATGTGTGTCTGCGAGGCAATGTGGGTTTCTTTTTTGTATGAGCACTGCAAAAAATGTAGATCTTTTCAAGATATTTTAGTCTGAGATAAATATACTTTTTTCCAGTGGAGATCAGCCTTTTTTCCTCCAAATATTTCCTTGAGCCAAATCTCACTCCTCAGGCTTCTGGATTAAACTGTGAAATCAGTGTTTTAAAGTTTAGATACACTGAGAAAAATGTGAAATGATTTTAACAATTTATCAAGCTCTTGTCAGTTGTTTTAAGAAGCATCTCATTTAAAAGTTTTAACACCAAATGACTTGCTAAGACTGACACATTTAGCCAAATATGGCATTGGTTGTTTGTGTCCACGTCCTTGTTTGAGGCTGTGTGTAACACGTGTCTGTCTTGTGGTAGAGCAGATGGTTGGGCCGAGTGTGATTGACACTGTTTCATCACGTTTCTGCCATGTGCGCATGTTTGCCGGGCTTCCAGGGTTTGTAATGCACCCTGAGATAAATGCTTCATTATTGCTGTATGGGTGAGTGTGATTCATCCAGCCGGTACGCTGCCTGTGGCGGCTTTAATGCTAGCAGTAACAGTGGTTAGTGTGGTGGCAACATTGATGGATCCCAGAGAGGAGGAAGTGAGTTGACAGTGATCGTGCTGGTTTAAAGGTTAATGACCATTAGTGGATAACAGGCAGACGCGCAGACTGCATGATAGAGATAGGTTGATTTTTAGCACCTACCCAGTGTAAACAATATAGAACAGAGAATGTTTACCCGTCAAAATATTTGCCTTTCGCAGCTTGTGCAAATATTTTATTTGTTACAACTGGTTTCAAGGTGAAAGCATATTGTTGCTATCTGTATCTCCAAAATGTCTTAATTTGTGAAAAACAATCTTGCTTTAATCTTGGTGACAGTGCACTTTTGAGGTAACCCAAAAGGTTTCTGAAAGGCATTTAAAAGCCAAGGAGGAAGGCGGATTTTCTCACCCCATGAAGAAGCATGTCATCCTTCAACATACCTGAAACTAAAATAATATCACTAAACTAGGAGAGGCATTGTTTTCACCTGAAGGTCACAACATGTCTCCTGTACACGTCTTCTTCTTGAACTGGATATATGATACAACTCATTGTATATATAGCAGTTGGTAGTAAACTATATGTACAGTATTTATATGTGTATATATAATGTTTTTATACATAAGTGCTGCAAGTAATGATTATCTTTAGTTCATTTGTTACTTTATTGATAAATTGATTTCTCGTTTGGTTTATAAAATGTCAGAAAATATTGAGAAATGACTTTTATCCTCACATAAGATAAATAAAATTAGCAAATCCTCACAAATGAGAAGGCGGAACTGTTTGAGATTTTTGCTTAATTATTCCTAAGTCATTTATAAGTAATTTGGCTAGTCGATTATTTGAGTTATTGTTTCAGCGCTATGTTATGTATTTATTGTAAGTATGGTTTAAATATGTTATGGTGTCTCTTAGTTACTTGTTGTAAGTAGATGTGACATAGACATGATGTTGTGCGTAGTGCAGAAAAGCTCACAAGTTATTTTTTGTCAAATCTCAAGTCTCTGAACTACAGTCCAAGTCAAGTTTTTGTAATGAGCGTTCATCTAGTGCATGCCATTCGGTCTTCTTAGAACACTGCATAACTATATCTAAGGAATTCAAAGTATGTACTGTACTATCATCACTCCTTTATCTGTTACCATATAGTATCCACATTGACTAGTGGTATTTGATAACTTCAAACTATAAAATCATTGTAATGAAATATTAAAAGACAGACAATGAAAGCTTTTCTTTAAAGTTAACAACTGTATTTTGCCTTGCAACATGAAAATACAGCTATATAGACTATATAAAAGTATTGTCTGAAAAATTGAAATAGTCAAATGGTACTCCCGCTAACAGGAAAATATTGCTAACTTTATTAGGCATGCAATAATACTATGGTCTAAATAATGACAGCTTATAATCTACTCTAAATTAAGACATTCCTCTATCCTCTTAAACCATTACGTGGTAAATAATAAACCTGTAACCTGCCTGTAGCTGACGTTAATAATTAACGTAGTCCCGGTTTTAGTCAGCAGATGGTGGCAGCAGAACGTGGAAGATTACATTACATGACCAGTTTTATAGTCATGGCAAAGCCAGCATGTGAACAAGTGTGGCAAGCAAACAAACACTCGCACATCTATTCAAAATAATTAGCCAACGCCGATCTAATCAAGTTAGCTAAGGGAGTTTTCTAAGCTAGAAGCAAGCTAACGTTAGATAGCTGATGCTGTGCTAGTTTAAATATGTTTGTTAACCGTCCAGGTGACTCACCTATCTGGCTGCCTTTTCGGGTTTGATGTGGTCGATCCAGCATTCTTTATTTTGATAACGCAGATGTTGCTTTTAGTGATTTTTTGTTTGTGTGACGTTATTACAGCCAATAGTGACAAATGGTTTTGTTGCTGTGGCTTTACAGTCACCTCTGGCTGAGCACATTCAGACATTTTCATAATGTCAATGTGCCAAAAACAGAAAGAACATAAAATAGAGATTGTTCACGAATCCCAAATCTTGAGTCCGAGTCGAGTCTCAAGTCTTTTGGGAACACATCTGAAGTAAAGTCTCAAGTGTGTGCGACTTAAGTGCAACTCAAATCCAGGTCGCAAACTCGAGTCCCTATCTCTGGTTGAGTGGTCTGTAAATTCTGTGGATTTAAGATCATTTACTATCGCTGAAGTTTCCTCTGTAGGCCAAATGAAGCCAGTTGCTCTAAAAATATTATGTCCATCCCAGTTATGTCTAGTGTAGGATGGGTGTGCATGTGTGTGCTGTCCTGACAGTGTGCGCAGGGCGGGTGTGAGAGAACATTTATCATGGCCCCAAACAGGAGTCGTCACAGGGTGTGCTAAATGGCCCAGCATGCCTAGAAAAGCCATTTTCTAAATGGATGCCTCTCTCTATACGTGTGTCTGATAGAAATCTTCCCAGGGCTATGCCGGCTGGTAACAAGATTGCCTCCCTCTGCGCCCCCTTCCTCTTCATGCGCAGTTTATTCTCACAGACAAAAAAAAATGTAAAGTGTGTGCAAATTATTTTTGAGTTTGTCTTACATGGAAAGAGACAAGGAAGTAAGTTGAATATAATGTGGTCTGCGCAGTTCCTCTCGGTTGAGATTTTATTTTTTCTGACAAGTGAGGTAGCGGGCGAAAGAGAGAGAGAAAGGCCAACACAGGGCAGCACAAAAATAGCTGAATATGTTTTGAATTGGTTGACTTCAGAAGCAACACAGATATACAATTTTTTTGTGTTGTGATGTGATGTGTTTTAGTTTTTTAGTAAATTTTGAGTGTCTCCAAAAATTAAACAAGCTCAAGTTATTTAAATGTTCAAAATCACATTCTAATGTATTCTGCCCAGGTTTGGTCAAGATGTTATTCTTCCCCGGGGGAGTGAAAGGAAGATAGAGGGTGAGTGATGTATTGGAGGAGTTGAACGTTTCGAATGGAAGAGTGGAGCGCAGATAGACAAGGAGAGTGGGCGGCATTTAGAACAGAGGAGGGTTTTTTTTTTTTAGAGAGAGAAAGGATGAAGAATGGCTTGACAATTGAGATGGATGTTCAGGCTGTTTTGTGTTTATATTTAGAGTCAAACTACTTAAGATGGATGAAATGTTAGAGGGGAAGGACGAAAATTGGTAAATTTAAATGTGAGCAGATGGATGCTGTTTATAGTGCTTATCCTCCTCATTATCCTGCGCGCTGCTGTGTTTGATGTGTTACAATATGTGGTGATGAGAGGCAGCGGTGGACACTGGCATTGTTTCCATATCCTCAGGCTTGTTCAGAACACTTTTAATAGGCACATATGAGCAGTGTGTTTACACCCACATAACTGTCATTACAGTGATTTTCATGGTTTATCAGAGATACAGACAGATAATATTACTATGTACATATTTAGACACCAGGTGGTTCACTGTACTTACTGTAGCTGTAAGATATAACTATACTCATGAAGAGAGATGTGGGGGAAGAAGTATCCAAAATAAAAATACTCCTCTGCAGCAGAATATCCCCTGTGACTGACACATAATTACCAGCATTTTACTGTTGCAGCTTGTTGAAGGGAAACTAGTTTGAACTACTTTATACAGTTGGGTAGTTAGTCACGTGGCTCCAAACCTAGGGCCCCTGCCTGTTGATCACACAATAAATCTGAAGGGTCATGAGATGATTAATGGCATAGGAAACATGGGGAACGTTCTGCTGTACACATTTTACATTACATTGTAGGACTTTTGTCTAGTCTTCTATAATTGGGGCTCTGTGGGCCTTAAACTGGTATTTAAATGAAGCCATCTGAGACGTTTGACGGGGAATTTGCTTTTTGTTGGAACCACTAAAAACTCATAGACATCTGAAACACGGCAGGGAGACCCAGTCAGATTTTTTGTAAGGGGTCGATAGTTTAAGTAATGTGCAGTACTTGAGTAAATGTACTTTCCACCACTGCCTTATACACATTGACTTGCAAAAAAACATAAATACACGAATAAAGTCACTGCAATTTCCACAACTTCAATCTAGCAAGCCTCTTAAATGGCAGTGCTGCCCAACATATGTTGAGCTCTCTCAAATTCATTTCAATAAGAAGAGTCTAATCAGCATGAATAATTTAGCCTGGTGCACATGACTGCTCCTGAACCCCTCGGTTCGGCATGGCACTTTATAACTCTGCACTGTGAGGATCTGTCTTCCCCACCTCCACGCCCCCTCCTCTTTCCGGTTGCTGTTGGAAACGTGAGAACAACGCAGGTCCAGATCAATATACCCACACGTGGTGGAAGCAGGGTGGAAAGACAGTGCCAATGAATGGGTGTGGGA